GAGGGCAGCCACGCCTCCTTCATCAGGGGAGCGAACAGCGACGGAAGCATAAAAACTCGGAGGTCCGCGCGGATTTCTCGCATCGGCGCTGGAACTCCCTCCCTGGCGCGCGGAGCGCGCCAGGGGCTTCCCTGGAGGCGCCGCCAGGGGGGTCAGCGCGGATCCGAAAAATCCGCGCAGACCTCCGAGTTTTTATGTCTGTGTCACTGTTCGCTCCCCTATCCCTCAGGCAGGACATTCGGGCGATCGTGGCGGTGCCCCCGCCGCTGCGGGCGCCGCGGCAGTGCGAGGGCCACGGCCGCTGTTCCGGCGCCTGCCGCCTCGAGCCGCCAGGCTTAAGTCGGGCATGTCTCCCTACAGGACGATCACTCAAACATAGTTTTTAGTTTAAATGTGTATATATATATGTATATATAATATACATAGTTATATATAACTATATAACTATATAAATACATATACATACCTATATATATATATATGTGTGTGTAGATGCGTATATGTGTGGGCGATGTGTTGAAATGTTGTTGACTATTTGGGAGCACTTTTGGTGTATGTTTACTTGTTCGTCCAAAGTCCGCCTGTAGGGGGACGTGCCCGACCTAACGCCAGGGAGCGCTGCTCCGGGTCGGCCCGAGGGCCTCCCCACGCGGCGCTGGGGCCCCTCGCCGGGGGAGCGGGCGCCCCAGCGGCGAGAGGAGCCGCAGGAGGAAGCGCTGCCCAGACACTCGGGGGCCCCCAAACGGGGTGGTGACCGCACCGTGTGGTGAGTCGGTGGGGCTTCGGGGTCGCCGCACGGCGTTGGGACTCGGGTCGTTCTCCGAGGACGTCTCGGGCGACTGGGGCATCCGAGGCCCCAAAACCGTGCGTTTGACGGACCGTGCGGTGAGGTCTTGGGGGGATTTCGAGGTCGCCGCACGGTCTGTCACCACACCGCTTCGGGACTCCAAAGACACACGGTCGGGAGCTGGTGCTGCGGGTGTCGCTCCGCCGAAGCTCTGGCCCACCGCGCCCCCGTGCGACGAGCCACAGCCACTTCCCCCTCCTCCTCCTCCTCCGACTCCGACTCCGACTCCGACTCCTCCGCCTCCGCCTCCGCCTCCGCCTCCTCCTCCCCCTCCTCCTCCTCCTCCTCCTCCTCCTCCTCCTCCTCCTCCTCCTCCTCCTCCTGGTCCCGAGGCGTCAGCTCTCCGAGCACGCCCGAGCCTCCCGCCCCGCGGAGCGCAGCGACCCGCTGTCCGCTCGAAGGGCACGGCGTGTCGCCCCGGCTGCCGCGGCGGCACGCGAAGCAAAAGCTCCTAACCTTAAGTCGGGCCTGTCCCTCTGCAAACCTTAAGCTCCTAACCTTAAGGCGGGAATATTCAAGAATGGTCCAAAAATAGTCTGGGGCCTATTTGGGGAGTATTTCCTGGCCATTTGGGAGTATTTTGGAGTATTTTGTATGTTTCGTCGAAAACCTCTGCAAACCTTCAGTTCCTAACCCCTCACCTCAAGTCGGGAATATTCAAACATAGTCAAAAAATAGTCTGGGGCCTATTTTTGGGAGCATGTTCTGGCCATTTGGGAGTTTTGTTCTGAGTATGTTTTATTGTTCGTCGAAAGTCCCCCTGTAGGGGGACACGCCCGACTTAATCCTAACCGTACACTTTTGGGGCTCCGCACGGATTTCTAGGATCTGCGCCAGGCCCCTCTGGCGGCGCCTCCCGCGCCGCCCCGTGCCGCGCTCCGCGCGCTCCGGCACGGAGAAGTCCAGCGCCGATCCCAGAAATCCGCGCGGAGCTCCGAAAGGATGGCGTCGCTGTCTTTGCAGAGATGATGTGCCTGCAGGAGGAGGACGCTCGGCGCCGCCTGGAAGCGGCCGGCGGCGACGTCTCTGCTGCGGCGGAGGGGACATTGGAGGGGGCCCTCCTGGCCTCGCAGCACGTCTCGAGACCACCTATATCACCGCATGGGCCTGTCAACGGCGTGGAGGCTGACAGTTGGGCCACAGCCGCCCAGACCTCCTCCTTGAAGACGATTGTCGGGCCGCTTGGCCACAGCGAAGCTCGACGAGACCTGCCCAGACAGCGACGCGTCGTTCTTTGATGGAAATGGGGAGGAGCAGTTTGAGGAGGAGGGGGAGGAGGAGGAGGAGCACTTCGGCCATCTTTGGCGCCTCGATCCTCCAGCGAGACCCCGCCTCCTGTGCTTTGTGAAGATCATGAACCTGGGGCGACCTCAGTTCGGATGTCTCCAGATTTTGAGAGATGTTGACAGGAATTGGACATGGCGCGGTACGGCACGTCGTACTACATAATGACATTACACCGTCTCTTAGCATGTCAGCGCATTGTATGACATGACGGATGTCCGCATATAGCAGCATAGCAGTGCAATGTGAAGCAGAGCGTAGCAGGGCATAAGAAAGATAACAGCATATCATAGCATTGGACCGAATGCCTGGCGCAGTGCGACCGTATTGCGAAAGCCTTACAGCCAGTGCCGCCGACCCCAAAGGTAGAAGACGACGACGACGACGACGACGACGACGACGACGACGACGACGACGACGGGGGCGGCGGCGGCGGCGGCGGCGGGGGCGGTGGCGGCGGCGGTTGCGGCGGGGGCGACGGCGACGGCGACGACGCCGTTGACGCCGTTGACGCTCTGGAGCCGAAAGCTTCTCCCAGGAAGGGTGCACCCCCAGGGGGGGGGTCACAGCCCCCGGGACCCCCCGTCCACCGCTCCCGGCCCGATCCCCACCAGCGTTGGACCTAGACGCTGCTTTGCTGGACTTCGGCTGTGCTCTGTTTCTTCGGTTTGGCGGCGAGGTGCAGGAAAACAGGCAGAGTTAAACGGAACGCCAAACGAAAACAACACGAAGAACAAACGTTTCGGCCCCGGCCCTGCTCCCCACTCCCCCTTGCCCTCCCCTGGCCTGCAGCCGAAAGCTTCCCCGGGGAGGGGAGAAGGGCGCTCCCCCCGCGCGGGGGTCACAACCTCCTGGGGCCCCCCTGGCCCCCCCCACCCACCCACCCACCCAACCCTGGTGGGGGAGGGATCAACGTCGACCCAACCACCCCACCCACCCCCCACCCACCCACCCACCCAACCCTGGCCCCCCCCACCCCCCACCCACCCAACCCTGGTGGCCTCCCTTCGACTCGACTAATTACAACGTTGCTCGATAGACCTCTGGCCGGAACGCTTGGGGAGGAGGGCCCAGGAAAGGGGGGGGGGGGGCGCAGTGCGGACGTATTCCTGCAGCAGCCCAAGTGCCGATGCCCGAGCGACGGATTTGGATTGGACACTCACACACCATTTTCCACGAGACGGGCTCCAATCTCGCAGGTTCATGGAATGTCAGTCGGGCCACGCAAGCCAGTACAGTGGAGACCCATGCCAAGAAACACCCTGCTTGCCTCCAGGGTGCCCTGGATTTCTTGGGTTTCGACGGTCTTGCTGTGGAAAGCGCGACGCTCGCACACCAAAATTCAACGGACGTCCTGGGGTCTCAGGGTTTGGTTTCTTGTGGAAGGTTTCTTGCGGACTGGCCTCCACTGTACAGTGCCGTTTTTTTATACATGCTCCGCGTGCGGATCATGTACTAAAAATTCAGGGATTTAGCATTAAAAACAAGGATGAGTTCATGCATGAATTTATTCAAAAATTAATCATGCATTCAAATCATATCTATATATATATATAAATATTAAAATCCTATGTGTTGAAAACTGCCCTGCATGAGTGCCACACCACACAACCCCCCTTCTCCCGTAGCCACGGCACCGCTCTTCCCAACACTGGTGCGGAAGGCCCGAACTACCCAGCTATGGCACGAGCGCCGGGGCCGTGTCAGCCTGCGAAGCTCTCCCGCGCAGGAGCCACGAACTCTCCGCTGTCGCTCCAGCGCGCGAGCCCAGAGATCGCAACGACGTCGACAAGACAGCGTGGAAGGAACCACGAAGAAAGGCAGTCAGAGCAGTCCGAAAAGCAGCAGAAGTGGCGAGAGCTGTCCGCAGCGATCAGGCAAGACTCCCATCGCCGACAGGCCAATGAAGGCATTCGGGCCAAGCAGTGCGGCGGCGAGCTGGGACGGGTTAGGAGAGACGGAGAAGCCAGGAAGGATAAGGGAATGGGAGAGACGAGGAAAAAGAGAGTGGAGGGGGGAGACGGGAGACAACAGGACACGGGGAGAGGGGAGACGGGAGACAACAGGACACGGGGAGACGGGCGGGCCGACAGACAGGGGGAGACAGCAGAGGGGGAGCGAGAAAAGGACAGGCGGGAAGGAGGAGGAGCGCAGCACGACACAGAGACAAGGGAAGGACACGCACACACACACACACACACACACGCACACTTCTTCCAGAGGCAAGGGAAGGACACGCACGCACACTTTCTCGTCGGCGGCGGCTCGAGTTCGGGACGCGGTCAGAGCCCCGGCGGGACGCGCGCGTGGCGTTTCTGGGACGCACGGGAGGGGAGGAGAGAGGGGCGCGGAGGGAGGGGGGGGCGTGGAAGAGGCCGCCGCGGGCGGCGGAGCACGCTCGCACCCAGGAAGGCCTTGCGCACGCGCCTGCCGGAGCACAGGCTCTCACGGCGTACGCCAGGGCACGCGCACAGGCGCGCACGCGCGCGCTGCGGGTCGCGGGCGCGGCCGTCGCGCGCACGCACGCACGCACGCACGCACGCACGCACGCACGCACGCACGCACGCACACACACACACACACACACACACACACACACACACACGCACGCACACACACGCGCGCACGCACGCACGCACGCTCGCACGCACGCACACACACGCGCGCGCCGACACGGGAAGGCAGGGTGCATGGCCTCCGTCGCTGCCATTGCGCTCACATCCAGCAGCCCTTTCGAGCTCGCGCGCCCCGCCCCCCCCCCGCCCCGGCGGCGCGCAGGGAGAGGGGACGCTGGGCGAGGGCGGCGGGTTCTGCGGGGCTCCCCCCCCGCCCTCCGAGGGGGCCTCCGGGAAGCCTCGCGGCTCCTTCC